TTGGTAAAAGGCGCTTTTGATAATAAATTTATTAATTATTGAATACGTTTTCTAGTAAGCGCTTCAGGTCTTTAAGTGTAAGGCGCTTTTGTTATTAAATTGAGCAAATAATTATTCAAAACATTTGCCAGTAAATTACCTTGGGCATTAGGTGAAAGGCACTTTTGTTATTAAATTTACCAACTAATTATTCAAAACATTTGCTAGGAAATGCCTTGGGTCATTTGGTAAAAGGCGCTTTTGATAATAAATTTAATGAATAATTATTTAAATTATTCGCTAGTTAGCACCCAGGGTTATTAGGTGAACCGCGCTTCTGTTATTAAATTAAGCAATTAATTATTCAATACATTTGCCAGTAAGTGCGCCGGGTTGTAGGGTTAATGGCGCTTTTGTTATCAAACTAATAAATTAATTATTAAATACGTTTGCTTGTGAGTGTTCTGGGTTATGGGATAAAAGACGCTTTTGTTATTAAGATGAACAATTAATTATTCAATACATGTACCAGTAAGCACTCTTGATTATTAGGTTAAAGGCGCTTTTGTCATTAAATTTAGCAAATAATTATTTAATTCATTTGCCTAAAGCGCCCCGGGTCAGGGGGTAAAAGGATCTTTTGTTAATAAATTTAATAATTAATTATTTAATACGTTCGCCAGTAAGTGCCATAGGTCATTGGGTAAAAGGCGCTTTTGTAAGTAAATTTATTTATTAATTATTTAATACAATCATCTGTAAGTGACCCGGGTCATTGGGTGAAAGGCGCTATTGGTAATAAATTAAACAATTGATTATTTGAAATATGTGCCAGTTGGCATCCTGGGTCATCAGGTGAAGGGCGCTTTTGTTATTAAATTGAGAATATAATTATTACATCATTTACCAGTAAGCGCCTCAGGTCATCTGGTGAAAGGCACTTTTGTTAGTAATTTTATTAATTAATTATTTTATACAATCGCCAGTAGATACCCCGGATTATTGGGTGATAGGCGCTTTTGTTATTAGATTGAGCAATTAATTATTCAAAACTTTTGCCAGTAAGTTACCTGGGTCATTGAGTGAAAGGAGCTTGTGTTAATAAATTTAACAATTAATTATTCAATACTTGTGCCAGTAAACGCCCAGGGTTATTAGATGAAAGGCGCTATTGTTATTAAATTAAGCAATTAATTATTTAATACATTTGCCAGTAAGCGACCAAGGTCATAGGGTGACAGGCGCTTTTGTTAATAAGTTGAGAAATTGATTATTTAAAACATTTGCCAGTGAATTACCTGAGTCATTGGGTGAAAGGCACTTTTCTTGGTAAATTTATTAATTAATTATTCAATACGATTGCCAGTAAGCGCCCCGGGTCATTGAATTAAAGGCGCTTTTGTTGATAAATTTATCAATTGATTATTTAATACATGTGCCAGTAAACGCCCTGGGTCATTGGGTGAAAGGCGCTTTCATTAATAAATTTAGCAATTATTTATTTTATTTATTTGCCAGTAAGCTCCCCGGGTCATTGGGTGTAAGGCGCTTTTGTTAGTAAATTTATTAAATAATTATTCAATACAATCGCGGGTAAGCTCTACAGGTCATTGGGTAAAAGGCGCTTTTGTTAATAAATTTGATGATTAATTATTTAATACGTTTGCCAGTAAGAGCCATAGGTCATTGGGTAAAAGGCGCTTTTGTTAATAAATTTGATGATTAATTATTTAATACGTTCGCCAGTAAGTGCCATAGGTCATTGGGTAAAAGGCGCTTTTGTAAGTAAATTTATTTATTAATTATTTAATACAATCATCTGTAAGTGACCCGGGTCATTGGGTGAAAGGCGCTATTGGTAATAAATTAAACAATTGATTATTTAAAATATGTGCCAGTTGGCATCCTGGGTCATCGGGCGAAGGGCGCTTTTGTTATTAAATTTAGCATATAATTATAACATCATTTACCAGTAAGCGCCTCAGGTCATCTGGTGAAAGGCACTTTTGTTAGTAATTTCATTAATTAATTATTTAATACAATTGCCAGTAAGCGCCCCGGGTCATTGGGTGAAAGGCGCTTTTGTTAATAAATTTAACATTTGAGTTTTTAATACATGCGTCAGTAAGCGCCCTGGGTTATTAGGTGAAAGGAGCTTTTGTTAATAAATTTAATAAATAATTATTTAGTACGTTTGCCGATAAGCGCCCTGGGTCATTGGGTAAAAGGCGCTTTAGTTATTAAACTAAGCAATTAATTATTTTATTTATTTTCCAGTAAGCGCCCTAGGTCATTGGGTGAAAGGCGCTTGTGTTAATAAATTTATCAATTAGACATTTAATTCATTTGCAAGTAAGCGCCCGGGTCACTGGGTGAAAGGCGCTTTTGTTAGTAAATTTATTAAATAATTTCTCAATACAATTTCCAGTAAGCGCCTTGGGTCATTAAGTAAAATGCGCTTTTGTTATTTAATTTAGCAATTAATTATTTAATTNTAAATTCAATAATTGATTATCAAATACGTTTTCTAGTAAGCGCTTCAGGTCTTGAAGTGTAAGGCGCTTTTGTTATTAAATTGAGCATATAATTATTTAAAACATTTGCCAGTAAGTTACCTTGGGCATTAGGTGAAAGGCGCTTTTGTTATTAAATTTAATAACTAATTATTCAATACATTTGCTTGTAAATGCCTTGGGTCATTCGGTGAAAGGCGCTTTAGATAATGAATTTAATGATTAATTATTGAATTCATTCGCCAGTTAGCTCTCCGGGTTATTGGGTGAATGGTGCTTTTGTTATTAAATTTAGCAAATAATTATTTACTACATTTGCCATTAAGTGCGCCGGGTTATAGGGTTAATGACGCTTTTGTTATCAACCTTAGCAATTAATTATTAAATACGTTTGCTTGTGAGCGCCCCGGGTTATGGGATAAAAGACGCTTTTGTTATTAAAATGAACAATTAATTATTCAATACATGTGCCAGTAAGCACCCTGGATTATTGGGTAAAAGGCACTTTTGTCATCAAATTTAGCAATTAATTATTTAATACATTTGCAAGTAAGTACGCTAGGTTATGGGGTGAAAGATGCTTTTATTAATAAATTTAATAATTATTTATTTAATGCGTTTGCCAGTAAGAGCTCCAGGTTATTCAGTAAAAGGCGCTTTTGTTATTAAATTTAGCAATTCATTATTTTATACATTTGCCAGTAAGCGACCCGGGTCATTGGGTAAAAGGCGCTTTTGTGAGTAAATTTATTAATTAATTACTAAATATCATTGCCAGTAACCGCCCCGGGTCATTGGGTAAAAGAGGCTTTTGTTATTGAATT